AATTTATAATAAAATTTTTATTATAATTATTTATATTATAAAATAAATTATATTGTCAATAATTTATTATAAATAAATTATTGTTTTCATTCATTTATTTATTTACAACGAGAAATGATTATTCGAGTTTTGAAAATATATTCAGTTATATTCTACTCTTGTGATTGAGACTATATTTTTATTACAATAATCTCTCTTTTGATTTATTTAATAGTTTTAAAAGAATTTTCATTTTAATGATATGCAAGTATAAAATTTCCCGCGCAAAGTCATCTCCTACCCGTACATGATTCTGTAAAAAATTTATATATATGCAAAACGTTATCGATAGTGTAATCTTACGATTGAACACGTACAAAATTGTTCACTCTTGAGTCATGTTCGCCGCTGTTTCCTTCTCCTGCCAGAGATCTTTCCGCGCCTCTCCGTACTTACCACTACTCTTTCTCGCGGATGGGCTCTATAATACGCCGGATCGTCAGGCGCTGACCGGTTTTAATCTTTATCGTACACTAGTCACATAGCAAGCGCGTCAGTTCGACTATCGTGAGTGTGAAAGGCTGAAAATCACGCAAATTTATAAAGTCCTGTACAAAGTTAACAAATTCTGATAGTACGCAGCAATTCATCAATCATGCGGTTCAAATTGGGTAAATAATATTTTTCTTTCTAAACTTTTTCAAGTTTTAAAGATAATAATAAAATAACAAAATCGAAACATAGATACAACTACTAAAACTATATTTTTTAAGTATATTTTAATTATTTTTTTAAGTATTATAAAACTATATTTTTAAGTAATTTAATTAAACATTTCTTTTTTAATGTCATTGACAAATATAAATGTTCCAAGTATATGATAAAATGATTCTAATTTGTTACTAAATTTGTATCAAAACATTTTAAATTCTCTTAAATCTGCAGAAAAATGTGAAAATAAAGAACAGAGGTTAACGATGAAACTGGATTGAAGGTCAATGTTGAAATCTTCGAAATTTTTTCTTTTCTTGTAGACTATAAAAAGTTCAAGATCCTGTTTGTCGAGTAAGGTTGCTGACCGGCAACAAAATCGTGATTTGTTCGAGATTTCTGTTCGGATTATATCTATGTGGTCACTATTATCGAATTATGCTGTCCGGAAATGTTGTTAGAATTATGTATTGTGAATTATACAAAAGACTTTTGAAACAGGAAATTTATTATTAGATACATAAATGTAGAAAACTCTTGGAAACAACGTATTATTTCATTTATTCAAACGTTTGTATTAGAGGATTATTAATGAAAAAAAATTATATCACTGTATAATAAATAATTTAGTATGAAAAAAAATTTCTTTAGAGTCATCTTTTTAAAGACAACATAAAATATAATTATTTGTTCTATATAAAACTCTATTGCCATTTATATATTTATCTTCAATTATAAATTTATTAACTAATTGTTTGATATCTTAATAAAGATTTAATAGTGTCGTTATCTCTTTTTCTTTTATCTGTTTTTACCTTTTAAAATAATTTTCAATTTTTCTTAAAGTATATTGGTCACGTTAAATATTAAAATTATATGTATATATAATATTTTATTAAAGTTTACGCTTGCAATTAATTGAAAAATAATCACGCTTTATTATTTTATTTACACTGATATACATCAAAATTTCTTCATTTTCGAGGATTCATAATAGAAATATAATAAGAAACATAATAGAAATGTGATTGCCTTAATTTTGTTAAGCAAAAAACTTCAAATTAAAAGAGAAAATAATTTACGAATGAATAATTTATAAATAATATTTGTGATTGCGTGTATGTATATATTCTGATACATTTTCTCTTCTGAGGATGTACATAAATAAAAAAAAAAAAATTTAATTACAGGATATCTACTGTGCCTCTCAATCATAGTAATTTTTATGAAAAGATGTGTGTGCGTCGTGGCGCCAAATCTTACACAGACAAACATTTCTTCACAAATTACTCCCCAAACTGAAGATGACGAAGATTTCGTACCCTATCATGGTGAACGCTTCACTATCTTCGATTGGATGTTGTTCAGGGTATTTAAAGACTCGTATTGTCTCTTAAAAATTTATTAGTGACAATTATCTAATTTAAATATCTAAAAAATAAGACGGAAAACATGTAAAAGGAATCTTTTAACATTCTTTAGAGCTCTTTCAGATACTTTTTAAATTTTTATTTTGCCTGACTGAATATTGTTGCTGACACTCTGCCTTTAACATTTTTTTAGAATATGGCCAAGGCGAATGCAGGGAATCTATTACTGTCACCAATATCCATAAAATTAGCATTAGTGCTTCTTTTTGAAGGAGCTCAAGATCAAACTGCACGTGAACTTGCAGAAGTCATGCAACTTCCGCTTACTGTGCCGGCCACTCGAGAAAAATTTAACAATATCTTAAAATCTCTGCAAGTAATTAATTTATAAATATATACAAATATTCTCATATTATTTTTTTTTTCAAAAGATTTTATGTATAGAATATATATATATGTATACTATATATATATAAAGTTACATGCTATTTTTATTGACAGGATCCGTCTTCTGCGTATACTTTAAATATCGGATCGCGTATTTACATCGATGATAATGTGCTGACCAGACAACGCTACGCAGCGACAGTAAAAACCTTTTACAATACTGATGTGATCAACACCAATTTATCCGACACGCATGCAATTGCGACTAAAGTTAATTCTTGGGTCAGTAATATTACGAATGGATATATTGAAAAAATGATAGATGACGGTAGGTTTGCTTGAAGTTATCTTGATTTAACTAACTAATGTTTTATGTCCCAAGGTTGATGATATAATCTATGAAACATATAAAAATGCGTCATATTCTTCAGTTAAAGAGTTTTCTATGATTAATATTTCATAATTTGACATATAATTGTACAAATGTAATATATAAGTGTACAACTTGAATTTTTGTTTAATGTTTGTAAAATAAAAAAAATGCAGTTGTATAAAATACTTCGTTATTTTGATTACTAAGGTTTATACAGCTATTTATAAATATTAATTTGATATTTCAGAACAAAGTTTGAAAAACTCGGTAATGCTGATCGTGAATGGACTATTCTTCAAAGGTGCTTGGCGTCACAAGTACTTTGCGACCGAGAACACTCACTTTTCCAAATTTCACATCAACGTCAACGAGAGCGTAGATGTACCATACATGCATACCATCGGTCGATTTTATTACGCCGAATCATCAAGACTCGACGCGAAGATTCTCCGGATTCCGTACGATGTATGTGACAGCCTGTATAACTTTATCAAAGATAATCATAGAAATAATGAGGATAAAATTTTTCAGGGCTCTAAATTTGCCATGTATATTGTACTGCCGCGCATGTTGACCGGTGTGGATCATATTATCAATCAGATTAATCCATTCACACTGGCGAGCGACATGTGGACCATGCAGGAATTGCCTCTCGACGTTTATATCCCGAAATTCAAATTCGAATTCACAAGTCATTTGGAAAATGTTTTGCGCGAGGTAATTTATTTATGTTTCTATATAAAAAGAACATTATATGTTACATTCAATAAAATATATTAGATATACATTCAGCAAAAATATATTAACAATTCAATGACGATTTTTGCTATGTATAAAATTTACTTTTTATACAAATTTGAATTTCTATTAAAATATGTTTATCCCTACGATATAACCGCAATGATTATTTTACATTTTTTCTTTTCTGTAACAGCTTGGTATTCGCGATATCTTCGATGACACTGCGCTATTGACAGGTATAGCAAAAACAAAACGAACTTCCAAACATTTAAAGGTGTCTGACGTGATGCATAAAACTGGAATAGAAGTAAATGAAGATGGGACAATTGCTTATGCTGCAACAGGTATGTTTTATATATAATAATATAATGAATTTTGTTGAGAAATACGAAATAAAGTAAAAGTAAACATATATATGTCAAATGTAATATTCATATAATATTTTCGTAATTTTTATCTAAATAAATTTTATATCTAATTGTGTTATTAGAATTTATCTTATCTTTTATTTTATAAAATCAGTACATAAATGTTGGTCATCTACACATTTACTATAATATAATCAAATTTATGAAAGGAAATATATACGTTTGAATCGCACTTATTTTATTTGAATATTTTAATAATAGTTTTTTTTTTTATTTCAGTTGTTTTATATATTTGATTATTTATAATATATTTGAAGCAAAAAAATTACACATTTTTATCTGCATTTAACAAGCCTTTTTCTTTCATGTTATGCTTATACTTTTTTTCTTAATACAGAGATACAGATTGGAAATAAGATAGAAGAGAGCACATTCCATGCCAATCAGCCGTTTGTGTTTTACATCGAGGACGAAACCACTGGTACCATTCTTTACATAGGTATAGTGCGGAATCCCCTGAATACATCTGGGACTACAGGGAAAATAAAGCAAGAATTTCCATCACGAGTTAATCTGAATACAACAACAGTAACTCCCACCAATCCCGGTAAACCATCATAAATATATCTATAATAATCGAAGATGTGTGGGAAAGGGTGGTGATGTCTTTTATGGTAGTAATGGCTACAACGTAATAATAGTTTTACTCTGGCGTAAAAATTTTTCTTTATGAGGTAAACTCTCTGATTGATATTTTAGCTGCGTTAAAAGTAAAACCAAAAAGTTATAAATATTAATATTTATATACTATTAATATTTAAGTTTCCTCTTTATTAACAGCGGTTTGGTGTTGAGTTGTACAGGGTATTTAGCCTTAAATTCGTATCATTTTAAAAAGCAAAAAAAGATAAAAGATAATATAGAAAATGAGCTCCTTTCTAGATTCTAGAGAGATCTTTTATCCAAAATGATACTATTTACCTAGAATGGTATTTTTATCTAATATAATATATATTGTTTCTTTGCCTTTTCAAAGATAAAACTTGAGGTAAAATACCCTGTATAGATAGAAAGGGTCTACTTTAGAAAAAGGAATTGCTAGATAAAATAATTAACATAGTATTAACACATTGCATGTATTACTCTACATATTTGTATTGTAGTATATAATTATATTTTGATAGATGTGGTACGATAAGAATCTCTGATCAAATCAGTTTTCCGGTTTAAATTCCATTTATTTAAATCCGTTAAATATATAAACTATTTTTATTCAATTCAATATAAAAAAAAAACTATATTTTTTTCTTTAGATATAGTAAAATGGAATACTTTGGATACAATCTCGCTTTAAATTGTAGCGTTATTAAATATTCTGCAGAGATTGTGTATATTTATTGTGTATATGTGACATATTATAATCGATATTACTATCATGAATAAAATCTATTCTGTTCCCAGTGTAATGCTAAGTTCTCGCATCTAAATTTCATATAAATCTATTTATTTATTTTAATACTTGATGTGCCTTTATTACGAATGCCAATGTACCAAAAATATAATTTATTTATACCAAATAGATTTATTATAGATTTTATGCAATAAAAACCTAGCATGCACATCTCACGAAGCTGAGATTATTTTGATAATCTTATAAATTTTCTTAACATTATTAATTATTAACACAATATGCTTGCAAATTTGCAGAAAATGTAGTTTCTTCATTAATGAAATAAATAAAATAAAATATGTTATTTTCAACAGCAATTTTATGTATCATTTTAGGAATGTCGGTAAACATGAAATCAAATTAAATTTTCTTAATCTAATACACACACATAAATTCAAATTTCAATCAACTAATTATTAATAAAACTAATTATTGTACTATTTATTCAAAAACTAATGGGTAATACTTTTCGTGAGTTTTTCCTGTTCCATCATCTGTTAGATATAAATGACAAAATTATCATCACGCATGACTATATGGGCTGGTGTTACATTTACCAATGTTATTGCTATAATATAATCATAATCTATTGCTCCACATTCTTATTTTTATTGTTAATATTAGGGTTCTGTAAATTGTTCGCATTCATTTTAACTGACAATTATATAATAACAACAATAAGTTCAGAGTACTAACAATTAAATAGGAAAACTGACTGATAAGAGCCAAGGCGTGGATATTGATGCGTGAATTTATTATTTTAAAATTTTAATAACGAATATGCATTAAAAATATACATTTCGAATCGTTTTTTGGTCTATCTTTAGCATGGATATAATATATCCATTCATCATGTCAGGTCATTATTATATTGTAAATTACCGACAGGTATGCATGTGGCGATGGCGTTTGGACGTTATCCATTAATTTGTGCAGATTCTTACGCGGGTTTTAGTGAGCCTTCCTTTCTGATTATTAATTTTAATTGGAAATTGGACTGCAACAATAAATATTGTGTATGTCAAATTTTAAAATTCCGCTATTTAATCTTTATATATTTATATCGATGCTGTGACGGTAGACCAAAACATGCATTTTTAATGCACATTTATTATTAAAATTTAAAAATAATAAGTTCACGCACCAATATCTGCGCCGTGGCTCTTATCTGCCAGTTTTCCCACTTAATTGACATTTATATCTTTATCGATGTCACTACAAATATTATACGTGGGACATCCCAAGATGACGTTTCATAGTGGACGGAAATTCCGAGACAAACCTTCATTTATGTTTCTTATTGTTAGTTATGTCCATCATTTCCTGATATTCAGTTTCTGTTTGCTTCTAGCAACAACTTCTATATTTTGTAATGAATGTTTTTATTCGTAATTAATAATTTTAATTCGTAATTAATTCGTAATTTCGTCTTAAATCTCTGATCTGACAATAAGTTGTATCAGTGCCTAAATTAAGTTTTCGCTCATGAGAGCAGTATATTTTGCCTTCTTTTTTAACTATTTCTTCAAACTTTACGATTACATCATCTTTGCGCACCACGTGTGCAACTTCTCATATATAAGCGACGACGCGTTGGAGCGTAATAGCGTTTACATCACGACGAAGGAGGTATGTAATAAAACAGGATCCACAGCGTTCGTAAAGTGGGGATGACTTTTAGCCGGAAGTTTAGCTATTAACACCTGCAGACACCCGTGTTTCCGTTATTCGTGTTTATCCGTTTGTCGAGAGCTAATATGCGAAATACACAATATTCGCGTGCGTCCAACTACGTCGAGTTTCGAATTGCAAAAATGCCACTGGCTCTGTGGATCCTCTGCTGTGCTTTCGCAGGTATCATTTATAAACAATGTATATATCTAAGAGATACTTAAATGATGTTTTTCAAAGGAGTTGTTAAAGTTTAGAATGTCTTCGATGCCTCTTAGAGTTTCTTTAAGTACTTGTATTATATTTTAGATTTTTATTGTCACATATTTATTATTGCATCAATCACCGAGAGATTTATTATAAATCTCATTGGAATTTTCAATCTTCAAGTCTTTACATAATCTTCCCGTTTACTACTCTACCCGTAATCCTTTAAAATTATCATTGAATTTTCCTATACTTCGTGTCTGACGTTTGCTAATAACAGAGAGAATAACAGATTGATATTCAATCGATCCTTATCTTGTGCTTCATCATAAATCAAAAATCCGCTATGCGGACGATGTTTTATATTTATATGATTACGTAACCACTCACACAGTGAAACGACGCTCGTTAAAGTCACTCCGCGAAACTCACGATTAGTTCTCTATCGTTATCCTCCTTTAGTATCTTGGCCGTTATTTCATTCAGTAGCAGATAGGAATTCTATCAGGCACTTGACTTAGTAAACGAGAGGAAAATCTTTCTCGGTATGCGGAGTAACGTAATAGTCGTTAGTCATTCTAGGTCTATAACTTTAATACCAATAAACGTTAATACATAATAAGCGTTAGATTCTTAACTATTTTAAAAACTGGTCGTTACTCGGTGGCATACGCAGAAACAGTCCGTGGAATTTACGTACGATTATCTCAATTACAGATTTTATTGCTAATTAAACGAATTATTATTAAAATTTAAATGTGCTATTTTACTCAATGATGCAATGATAGAAGATGTGAATTGTGTAAGCATCTCATTTTTATAACATACACACAAATTTTGTTATTAATGTAAAATGTTTCCTACAATAATTCCAGTTGCAACCAGTACCGAAGACCGATATGCCTTTTTCAACATCGATCTCCTGCAGGTGAGGAATATTTTAGAAAAATATAACTAATATAATATAATATTTCACACATATAAATTCCGCAAAAATAAATTACTTAAATGGAATTACTAGAAGTAAATTATAAATATATGTGTGTGTGTGTGTGGAATTATCAATTTCTAATTTTTGAGATGTGAAAGAAGCTGTTAACTTAAATTCTTTTATATTAATTCAACATTTTTTTGTATTTGTTTATGTTCACGCTTCTATTTATTTTAATAATTATGCGTTATGAAATAAAAAATAATTATTAATGAAAAAATTGAGAAGGAAACGTAAAATAATTTTTAGAATTTTATGTAAAAAAAAGTATATTGTTTATGTTCATAAAAATTTCGTAGAGAGTGAACGAAGACATCGAGGGTAATCTAATACTATCTCCCTCCAGCGCGAAAATCGCCCTTATGACTCTGGTGGAAGGCACGGGCGGTCGAACACGTCAAGAATTGCTTGCAGCTTTAAGATTACCACCGGATGAATATACTATCAGAAGAATAGCAAGACGAACTCTCATGCCCCTAAAAGTATACTAAAGTTATTGATTTAAATTTATTAAGAAACCGGTACGATTTCGATGCTGGATATGTGAAAGTAATTTTTATTTTCGTGACAACAGAATAAAATTAGCGTAGGATATATTCTGCCATGTCTATAGCGTAGAAAATTTAATGAAATTATATCGAATTCAATCTCTGATTTTTCTTCTCCATCGAAAATTAGTCTCACTTTTCTCTTCAGAGTCATCTCACATTTATTTCAGAGTCATCAAAATGGTACGGAAATCGATGTAGCGACTCAGCTATGGATCAATCCAGTTCTTATGACATCTCCTAATTATGTAAGTGCCTTGCGTAATTATTATGGAACCGATATCCAGCAGTTAAATTTCGGAGATGCAAATGTTGCGGCGAGTACGATCAACACTTTGGTTCGTCAACAAACACGGAATAACATCAAGTCTATCATTCAACCAGGTATTTAAATCCTTTGGGAATAATAGATTAAAACAAAGAATTTTAAATTTTCGAATTTTACTTATATAACTTGAAAACAACTGGATATATATACTCAACTCTCTTTCTCTCTTGTGTGACACTTAAACTGATTAAAGATATTTTATCAACAATTTACATTGTTCTAGGTACTCTTCCTGCCGACACCCAGATACTGTTAACTTCGGCCTTGTACTTTAAAGGACAATGGTTGAAATCATTCGATAAGGATGCTACGCGTGCACGGTGCTTCCGTGTTCCCCAACACGGTTGCCGAGATGTTCCTATGATGGAGAACACTTCCCGGTATCGAAACGCCTATATAGCTTCTTTTGATGCTGATGTCGTGGAAATCCCGTACTCGGTAAGAAATGATTCTTATATCATCAATAAAAAAGCCCTGGTGCTTTTATGTGAAAGAAAACTCATATAAGATAATTATCCAATATATACTTATGAATTCAAAATGCTTTTCGGATTTTTAAAAGTGCATCTACATTTCTATAAAAATTTATTATTGAATATATTGTTGAACAGAAATTAATTCGAAAATGAACCGATACTTTATTTCGCATGAATATATTCTATAAAATCATTCATAAGTAAATTTCTCTATATATATCGTCAGGGAAACGTAATTATTTTTATCTAAAGAAGATAAGATTTAATAAAAAAGAATACAAGTTCTACGTAATATTATATGGAATACAATGCATGAATGTATATATAATATTTTTTATCTTTTTTGAGATTTCCTTCTTTAAAAGGGAATATATTAATAAAAATACTAAAGTCTAGATACAATGGGACGTCTTTAAGAATATCTATTCTACGAAAAAACTGACTGATAAAATTGTTATTTAAGAATGGTAGGACATCTATGCTGGTATTCCTTCCATCTCACGAGGATAGCGATCCGTACCTTCAAACCTTGTTCAAAGATCTTTCATATGTGCCAATGAGAACTTTGCTGACTAGTCTCAAAGAAACTGAACTAGTGCTTTCTATTCCGCGATTCAGTATTGAGAACAAATTGGATTTACGTTCCTCTTTAATGCGCGTAAGTATCAAAACTTAATTAAACTAGAATATTTAATTACCATTGTTACTGTTACGTTACTATTATCAATTCCAGTTATCAACAGCTTTTTGTTATACATATATATATATAATTATTATTGTTAATAATATTATTATAAATATTATATTCACATTTAGAAGTTATTTAAAAAAAG